TTGGAAAAACAGATATGGGTTTAAAAAGACGGCAGAATACGCAGATTATCACGTATTTGTATTTTGGGCCTAAAAGCATGTCTAAAATACGGAAAAAATGTTCACAACAACAACGGAATTGACATGCGAATTCAATCATTCAGAATCCATGTCCGAAGCATCCATGGCCCCCTCATCCACTGCCTCTACAACGCAATAATGTCATTAAAACTTCTCATCCTCAAGCTGCTCAGGAGCGTCAGGTTGCAAATTGCTCTCAAAACTTCCGTGACATGCAGATTAAATCAGTCAGCATCCATGTCTCTTAGCAGACGGATGAATCTAAAACTCTAAACTAATATATAATTATAAATAACCTAATTGTAAATTCCATCAAAAGTGATGCTACTGCCCACATTTGCAACTTCGCTGTACGGTTTCCTTTCACGGCGCTGCTCTTGCAAGCGCATAACTTCCTGGGAGTTTGGACAGCGTCCGGCACATTCCCACAGCACACAACCACCCCATATCCGGTGATCCTGGCCAGGTGCAAGAGCGGCGCACATCTTCACCCGTCACAATGGTTCCAAAGTACACACACGTATTGCGCTTGCCTGTGACATCCGCAAAGTGCTTTGCAATGTTGGGGAACTTTCGGCATCGCCACTCACAAATTGCCGCATCTGCAGTACGCCCAGCTCCCTCGTGACGTGCAGGTCGTGGGTCCGTGGGACGCAAGTGGCAGGTTCCATTCACTAATTGGGCTGATTAATTGGTATTTAACATAATTGATCTGAAATACGTTTAAAAACGCGCATTTTAACAATATGCCAAAACGTGTATTATTCCCAAGCCTGCTTAGTGTCAAACCTTATTTTCACGCCGCCCTCAACACTTAACTACTGTGCATTGCGACGCAAGAAAACACCATCGTTGCCACCGCACAGCATCACTACAACCCCACAAAGATTGGAGTAACGCGACATCCAGTGTCATATGTTGTAGTCTGTTGCACAATCTTTTCCGGTAAGCGATCGCCATCATCTGAAAGTGCTCCTCAGCTGTTCGCCAGCGCTTTTCAGCGTTTTCAGCATTCTTTTTCATTGTGTTTAAAATAGATGCATCAGAATCAATATGTTAATATTTGTTTCAGTGCCCACAGTTTTTAGTCTATTGCAATAGACTGTGTAAGCACAATCATTTCCTAAAAGCGATCGCCATCATCTGAAAGCGCATCTCAGCCGCGTGCGCAAACCTTTGCGCACTGCTCTGCCACGAGCCAATGCACAATCCCATCGCAAACCATTTTGAACTGAAATCAACATGAAAGACTGAACTGTAGATGCCCATGCCGTCAGGATGCGCGCAATTCTATAGGCACCTCTAGACCACGAACACCCATCCACTGCACCAATCACCAGCTTTCGCACCCACTTCGTTGGCAACTCATGCTGGCTGCGCCCCATGCGACTCCTAGAGCAATATGTGCCAGGCTCGAAACTACGGTATGGCCCATAATCGCTGCCATTTCGGGCGCTGTGATCGTGTCCAAGCCCCCTTGCCTCGTTGCACACAGAAGGCGTTTTGGAACGCTTCTTGTTTATTTTGATATTAGTGCAATTGCATAATTTTTTAGCATCACGCCCTTGACCCACACATCCACCATCCCTATCACTTACTGTAGATCACGAAGAGTAGCACGGGGTTTGTTGAATAATGCGGTGTCCTTTAGATAGCGCCCCCGTTGTTATCAAAAACGGCCGGTGTTGTGGAGCGCTGGTGGTACGCAAGATAGCGCGAGGGGGAAATATTCAATTCAACATCACGTACGACCAATGAAAAATCATTCTCACACATTCTTACATCTTGTTTCATATGCTAGCATCCCAATGTTATCAAGCTCACTCCAACTGAACATAGCCATGACATTCCTCCTTCAATCAAACACCGTGTCCTCAACAATCTCAGTGTCTAGCTCCATACTACCATCACTCAAACCGAGGTCATCGGGATCTCCAGGCTGTATCTAGTGCAGTACAACGTTCCAATAGCTGTTGTTGGTTGTTATATTGCTTTGTTATTGGCACCTTATGCAAGGTTATGTACTGCTATGTAATATGCGCCGTTTCGCTTTGCCTATCAATCTGGAAACGCAGGTGGCGCGGCATAATATTATGCATTACGCATTAATGCAGCGACCTGTGGCGTCCCTTCACCTTTTTTTGGCGCCGGTTTCGGTTGCTGCCGTGAATGGCGCCTTATGTAATGTGCCAAGTTGGTGGGGCACCTACACGCTTTGCTCCCGGTACGAGGGCCAGCGCGATAATGCGGGGGTGCGCTACTGAGTCAGCGATCTGATGCGGAACGCGGGAGGGACGGAAGATAGAGCGGGGGCACGCAAGATAGCGCCCCCGCATTCCTGACGTCACCCCTGATGTGGAACGCAGGGGGGGCGCTATCCTCCGTGATCTACGGTACCTCCAACTGAGCATCTCTGGAACCACTGTGTATGCACAATGCGCACTGGTAGTGAACAGACAGAATGAACAGATGTAGAGGGGAGAACACTGTTGGCTTTACACTTGTTTGTCACCACCTGAAAGGTGTGATTGCTGTATTTTATCTTCCAGGCACGCACTTCAGTAAATGAAGTTATTCCAGCTACTGATTCGCTTGTAGTTGCTCCACCAAAAATTATGACGAATGGTGCCCATGGCGTGAGTGCCACTTCGAGAAGTGGTGCTGTCACATCAATCGACCGATATTGATCGATGTCTCCAATATTTGACTGCAAGGTTACATTCAGATGAACTGTGACTGAAATGCACTTGTGGCACAGGGTTCATGCAATGAAATGGTCACCTCTATCTGGCATGCACAGAAATGTGTACGTACATTTAATGAATCCTCATGATATGTATGGTTACGTCCCGATACATCCACAGGAATGCACATGCATTCATGGGAGCTAGAGCGTGTTAAGATACCCTGACATACGTGCTGTACTTTTAGCATGGGCGAGGGAGTCATGTCAGTGGTATGAGGGGAGCTGGCACCCAATCTACCAGTACAGCATGTGGAAAATGTTTCCCCATCACTGCCATGAAGCCCTGTGTGGGTCATGACATCAGGGCATGACCAGAAAAGAGATACAATTGGCTTGATGTGGTTTGACATGCATGTCAGGCATGCATGCCTGTGCTGAACAAGAAAAACGCAGGATTGGAAGAAAAGAAATGAAATAGAGCGATGGCACTGGTGGGTAGGAAGGAAATGGGCTGGGAATGTTGGACTGTAATGTGTAGGGCAGCATGCTGGGAATGCATGCAGAAAGAAGAGCTTTGGAAACCTGTCAGACAGGGGTAACTTGGGGACCAATCCATGCTAAAGCATTGAATCAGAAAACGCTAGAAATGTTAGTTAAAAGATGTGGGGAAGTGTGGCAGCAACGTCACAAGGCTTCGCCAAACAGGCCGCCATGCTCTGAGAAGAATGGGCATTTGTTGAAACTGCTTTGCCCATTCTCTTTTGTACATATGCGCAGCCGCCATGGTGCACTGTAGGTCCCCACGTCACCCACTTCTGTATGGTACCCTGTGTCTTCTGTATGGCTAAGCAGAGAACAGACTAGATTGGGACAGGTGTTGAGCAAGGGCGCTGGAAAGTGCTATAAACTATGGTGTCAATTCACACAATCCTTTGTGATCATCACTTGACCAATGAATGTGATGTCCATGATATGCATGGTGTAGCAAGGAAACAAGCTTCGAGGATTTCTCTCAAGGCAAATGATGATGACTGGGATGGTAGGCCATAAGATGCCACCCTCATCAAATCACGTGATGTTCAGTGACATATCTTCCTCTAACTACTCCTTTGGGACTAAAGAGCATCAGCCAAGGTGCTGGATTGCACTGCAAATGGTTGTGATTTGTATCAGGAGCTGTGGGACTATGCAGTAGTGTTGCATGAGCATGATTGGCCTTTTCCTTGTGATGGGCTGGGTTGCATGTTGAGAGAACGGGTAGAAATTAGGAAGTCAAGACGTCATTTGGCGGTCACTGATACGCTGAGAAATTATATATATTTTTTTCGTTTTAGTCCAGGTCACAAGGTACTGAAGTGCAGTAAAATATAGGGAGGGTTCAGCCATTGAGATGACGGGAGTCTTGTGCACTAGTGCCATGTTCAGTGCGTGCAATCTAAGTATGCATCATCAGTGTGTGGCTGCGCAATATGTGAGGTCGGGAGGGTGTTGCTCCTTTTGAAGAGACCACATGTGACCTTTTTAGAGCCCAAGTGACCTTTCCGTCTGACAAAGAGTCGTGTGCGGCTGTGGGGTCGCGATTTTACCATTCGTTCCTGTCTAGAGTTTGGCGGTGCTGTGCTGGTTGCCGCTGGTTGCCGTTTGAGGCGATTGGCCGAGTCGTGAGGAAACTTGTTGGGCGGCAGACGTTATGGGTGGACGCCAGCAGCTGTGCTTGTACCACTACCTTATAAGGGGCTCAGAGCCCAACTTTCCGGTCTGAATCGTGTCTCCCGACCCTGGCATGGCACCTCGTGGCAGGCCACACGCACCCCCCCGGGTCTGGGGGTTTTCTTGCCGCTCGCTCTGGTGGAACCGAAGCGCCGGCTGCGCAGCTGGCCAAACAGGCCGCGCGGCTCGCTGAAAAGCGCATTGTCGCCAAAACGCGTTGAAAAGAGCGCTGCGTGACCTGTGATAAGGTCGACGCACAGCCACATACGACTCTGTGCCGTAGAGGCGCATGATGCCGTGAATCACAGCCGTATGACACGCTAGAACACACCAAAAGGAGCGTACAGCTGCGTAACGCGGCGCGCTCCCCAGCGATCGCGCCGTAATGGCCCTGAGCGGACACACAAAAGTATCTGAAGGCATACGCGCCGAGCCATCGTGGTGGTACACGATCCATGTCGATGCAGGGAATGGTGCTGGTTTGTTGAGCACCGAATCCCTGCCTACGGTCGACGAGGACGTGCCCCTAAATGAGTGTCGCTAAATGGGTGGCTCACGCAAACAGCCTGGCATTGCCAGTGCCACGCCCCCTCCGGATATTCGCGAAGGGGGCAGCGAAGGCGCAACCGTTTTGGAGTTTGCGAGCAGACCTCCCCGCTGCGCGAACTGCCTTCCCCGCGAGCTGGGAAAGATGCCAGAACAGAGACCGGTACGGCCACAGCGCTTTGTGCCTCCGCGTTCTGCTTCCTCGGGAGGCCTGCATCGGCGCCGATGTCCACAGCGGGGCTCCCGCGCTGTTAATCGTGGGAGTTCCTGATTGCGCCACCCAATAGCAGACAGGGATTACAGTAAACAGCATCGGCGACTGCTGTTTGGCGTTCGTTGTCTGGGGAGGAGTGATCTGCGCGTGCAGCTGCTGCATGGGTAGACGATGGGATCGTTCAGCGGCTGTCAGTGCCCGCAACGTGCTTTGTTGTGACGATTATGGCATCCCGAAGTCCAGGGAAGTTATTATAGTCCACGGAAGCTCCTTTCGGGTGATTATTGGTTTGTTTGGTGACGCAGGAGGGCACAGATGGCTCCGACCATCTGTTCCGGATGTTGATTGAAGACCGTGAGTGCAGCCACTGCAGGCAGACAGTGTTTGCTGTTGTGGCAAGTGGATAATTGATTGAGCACTGTAGCCCTTGTCGAGAGATTGATGAGATGGATCCATTCAGCAGTGCAGTTATTGTGTTTAGATTGTCCCGTTAGAGGTCTAGTCGGGCCGCATATCTCCAGGGTTCTGCCGCCAACAGGATGAAATGAATCACCGCAAATCTCTCTTCAAGCCCACAGTAAATCTGAGGATGCCAGACACACAGGCAGGGAAGGTGTGGGAGGGTGGGGAGGGGGCAACTGGTACAATCAGAGATTGTCTACTTCAGGAAAGTGCTGAAACTTTTTGTGAATAGGCTCCCTATGATGCGCTTGCAGACAAGTCGCAATAATTCATAAACCCTTACTGGAATAAGTTGCAACATGACTCAATCAAGTGGTTGGATTCAAGGACTTGTTGAGTGTGTGTGTGTTGCTTTACCAGGCTACCACAGATTGGCCATTCTCAAGAAGTTTAACAGGATCTTCTTCTATTGCAATGTGAGGAACGAAATCCTGGTTCGACTCAATTTGCGCTGCAATCGTTGAGGAAGTTCATGCGCACCACAGTCTGTTCTGCGGCACACGAGTAAAGTAGTCATGTGGTTCCTCAATAGTCCTTGGCATGAAGGTGATTGGGAGTCTACCAGAACTTTTTGCAGGCTTCAAAGTAGGCGGGGAGGTACAGGCATGGGCAGCTTAAGCCTGAATATCAAGCTGTGCCATTCACGCTGTGCAGATCGTGTTGATGGTGTTGATGAGCGCCTGGCATCTCATTCCACTCCTGGAAGGTAATAGTCAATACCACCCTAAGTTATTCTGGCTGAAATAGCAACCTCAAGCTGTAATAATCTTCATGAACAGGCACCCCTGTAAGGCACATGCTCGCCATCTCTTTTGCAGGTGCCTGGGCTTCCTTTTCTGTTTTGACAATCGTCAGTTTTACAGGATCCTTGCCCTTGAGTCCCTGCGAACACAAATCTCTGGATTGTTGCACACCGTTTGTTAATGCAGACAAGAAATGTGTTGCTGTACCACATCAACCTGCCTGTGCTTGCAGCAGCTGTTGAGCCAGCAGCTGAAAGTCAGCGACCTTGTTCCTTTCAGTGCAGCTTGCAGGTGCGGGGTACAACTGACAACTGGTTGGCACTGCAGGGCAACCTTACCCCAAGTGGGCACAGATCCTGCTGGCTTTGGAAGTAACAGCTGTGGTCTTTTGGTATATATGTGAGTACAAACTATTCGATTGCTGGGGTGGCTGACACAAAGTTGTGAAACATGTCGAGGTGTTTTATCGGAAAAATGCTGTCATCACACACGGATCCCCATGTTACCAGACTGTCTTTCTGTTGAGGAGGAGAAGAGAGAGGGTAAAGGGGGGGGGGGGGGAGGGAATACTGAGGGCAGGGTGTGTTGCAACATAGTTCAAAACATAGGCTGCTTGCCACATATGCAGGCTTGTTGTGTCATCCTGTGTCAACACACGACTTTTTTGCAGCTTGGAAGACAACTATGGCAGCTTTTGCATCTGGACTGTGTCCCCACATTTGTCCCCACGCTAGTTATGAATGACTGAAATACAGTGGAGTGTTTCCAGCCTCTGACCTCACACAATAAATACAATGATAATGCTTCTTTGTTACTGCATGTATCAGTGGATAACATTGTCATCCATGGGGTTGTGCACTCACGAACTGCCTCACCCGTGACTTTGGGCACAGACAATTGTCAGACTCACCAAACCAACCCCTTGATCTCCCTGTTGCACTGTGCATGCCAACTGGATGTTGCCTTGGCGGCCTTGTGACACATTTGAAAAGCAGTTGTACATTGCATTGATTCCTCATATGATACTCCGCGTGCACATGTTGGCCCCTACAGCTGAGCCTGGAACTGGCAGAGAGAAGCTGAGGAGGCTCAAACTGTATGGCTTCCTCACAGCTGTGGTGTGTGCTGAGGTGAGAGGCGGTTTATTCGTTTTCAAGAACTCCTCAATGTTGGCTGTGTCATTGTTCCAGAAGTGGGCATTGTACATGTCTGCTTATGCATCATTACCAGTGGACACACCCACTTCCAACCCACCCTGGCCACGATGGCACAATAGCCTATCTTCAGTGTAGACTTGATGACGACTTGATGGGCCTTGCTTGGTTTTGCTGGAGACCAGAAGACATTGAGCATCCATGCAAGCAGATGTGCTCTGTGGGTGCAGAGGTACTTGTTGACCAGATTGTATCACAAAGGAGTGTATTTGTGCCTGCACGTGAGATGCACAGGTGGAACGTGGGTATGAATGCACACATGTGAAGAGTTTGCGTGCATGTGAATGCATGTAAATATACAAGGTCTATGGATGGTCAATGGTGTACTGGCCTTCTTCAGATTGGTGTGATTTTTGCACTATCATAATGCGACCCTGGTCCTTCGGGCGTCGTTTGGAAAGCTCCATGCCATGTTCCTAGCATGCAGGTTGGCACCTGGTCATACTTCCATCTAGATTGTGGCAAGAGTCTGGTGCAGGAACGCTTGCTGCCTCAGCATACGGCTGTGTTGTGTTGTAAGATGCATGTTTGCAGTTGAATAATCTGAGCTGTGTTGTGGCTTTGCAGCACCTGCTCACCAGGTTGACCTACCATGGGAAAATTAAGATCCATGAACATGACCAGTACCCTAAAGTGGCCTCAAGATATCTTGCAGCAAACTACGAAGTTGATCGAGGTAGTGTGTCGGTGGGGTGGTGGCAGGGTGGGGTTGGGGTTGGGGGTGGGGTTGGGGGTGGGTGGGTGGGGTGGGGTGGGGGGTGGGTTGGAAGGGGGGGGAAAGGGGGAGGGTGGGGGAGGGGCGCCCTCGGCATTCGTTCTGTTTTGTGATGATGGAAGTGGATGTCCGGAACACACTGAATAGAAATGCACGGCCCTTTGGCGACCTTGCCCTCTCGTCATATCAGAACGTTGGAAACCCTGATTTGCACAAATGCCGGAATTTCTTCATCGAAAGGCTCATTGTGCTGCTTGCACTTAAGACAGTCCACGTTCGCATCAGCTTTGACAGCCACCTTCTGGCAGAGCCTGCTTCTCCTTTTACTGAACTCGCCATCGTTTTGCTCGCAGTCTTTGCCCAAAACTTCCTCACGGCCGTGGAGGCATCCTTGGACACACTGGTGTTTGTTTCGCTCCTATTGGCCTCACTGGTGTGCCGGAACTACATCCTGGAGAGGCGGGCACCACAAACTGTGGAAGAGGAGAAGAAGGCGCTTTAGATGCTTTCCGCATCATGGCATGCCCTTGCCATGTCTCCCAAGCCTCTTCATCTGGTTAGGCATAGCGCACTGCTGGCCTAGATTTTGGCAGGTTACAGCACCACAGTTCTATTCAGCTGGCGGCAGGAAGTGGCAAAGAAGCTGGAGGTCCGTGCAAGGGATGGCCCTGCCAAGCTCCTGGAGAGCCAGGGCACTGCGTTGGTCATTTGACAAGTTTTGTTCCGGCGACTTACTGAGGGTTGTTTCCTGGGCACATGCCCATCCACGAATTTAAACGCTCAAGAGGTGATGAGCGAACGCATGCTCCGGCAAAGGAATAGGGCACAGGCGCTGATTGAGACAGCGCTGTTTCGGTGTCAGCCTCCCACAGCCCTGCTGCTACACCAATTCACACATTTCAAGGGGTGGTGATTGCAAAAGTTGACCGAGCGAATAGCGAAGCCAAGACCGGGGGGGATCACTTTTGGCTGCGACCCCGTTCAAACACAGGTCACGCCTTCAAGTGCAAATGGCGGTGAGTTCCTATCCCTGGACTGCCAAAGGAGGGAGCGGCTCCTGATGAGCAGTGCTTGGACACTAGCCTTGCCGTCTTGGGCGCGTTCCGCTCGCATCTCCCCCTGAAACCCTTGGTGTGCTCTCAGCATGACGAAGGTCCTCGTTGACTCCACCTTGAGGACCGGTGGTGGCTGTTGGAATCGAGCGGCAGCGTTTCCCGCAGGGCAAGAGAAGCTACGAGGAGACCACGAAGCTACCAGGGCCTGGGCTGCTGTGCCAGACTGCACGAATCACATTGTGATGGAATTCTTGCGGGTGGCTCGCCATGCTGGCAGCCACCACCATCCAACGCTTCTGTTGATGCGTTGGTTGAAGACGCCAGCAGATTCGTCAACATCATCAAGAACTCTTGGCACTGTCGGAGTCATCATCATCATTCATGCTTACATAACAAGGAATCACAGACGTGTCTGTGGAATTGAGGGCAAATGCCAAGGCATTCATGTACCCTCCTACTTGCACCCTCCTAACGGCCAATGTCATCCTGTCACTCTCACTTGAATTTGGCTCCCACCTCGGCTTGCATGGGGACAGCGACCGTGCGCCCATTGTCCCACTGCATGGTTTGTCTGCAGCAGGTACTGGGAATTTCGACACAAGCATTTCCCATTCGCACAAGCCCTTGTCATGTTGACCTTCAACGTGTCCATGGGCCCCGGCCATCGCACACATCCCCTCGCCCGCGGGGGCTTGGGGTCCCACACTGCCCATTTGACGTCGCTCCGCACCTCGCGCCGCCTCGAGTCACGGAACTAAGCATCTCGGCGGCGACTCTGCGTCCGCCCCATGCGTGGGTTTGACTAAATTTGGCAACAAGCCAAAGTCGCGCACCGCCCTTGTTGACGAACGGACACAACTGAGCAGGCCCAAGCCTGGCTGCAACTGGTTGTGAACAGGACAACGGGCCCGGGGAAGCTTGCATCGCCGGCACTCGTGTCCGTTGGGGCTGACCCAAGGTAACGACCGTGTCAGCGGTGCACTCACATGTGTTGGCCCAAATCCAAACGGGGCTGGGGTGGAGGGGCGGTACATGATGGTCGCTGGCAGTGCTGGTGTTCATGAGGCGAGGTTGAAGGCGCCGTTGCGTGCGGGCTTGTGGCGCCCTGAATCTTTGTGGAAGGCTGCTCGCGGGCGACAGCATGTGCTGCCATCGTCTATCTGAGATGCCCAGCCGACGGTGGCGGTTGATGGGAGCTGCTAGCTATCCGAGTCGTGCGCCGCCGGGCTCGCATTTGGCGGTGGACACACCTTCCGTCGGGATTGCCGGCGTTGCAAAGCCAGTGGCGAAAGATTTGTCGATGGTGCAATTGCCCATTGCAATGGGCCCTGTCGATCCGTGCACATTTGAGTCAACAGGCTCATTTGGTCAGAGGTCATTTGGAGGCCAAAGTGTCGGCTCTCACAGCTGAGCAACACAAGATAAGCGCTTTGCTGTTGTGTTGAACATTGATCTTGGCCAATTGTACAGTATGACATGGGCCATCAGAGAAACTGGCAGATACAACTATTACTGTTTTATACCTTTCTACCGAAGTATAACATGCGCATGGCATCCACCACTGTGCGTCACAATTAGTGATGCGCAGCGATTCAGTGTAGTCAGTTCAAGGCGACACTTCAATCTGAGGAAGACAACCACGAGATCCAGTCGTTCGATGGATTCGCTGGTGGCGTGTGGCATGTTTCATCATTCCCACAGTTGCTCGAATTCCCAACGCCGCTGTGCGACCACCTGTCGAATTTGAACATTTGCCCACCTGCACATGTGCCCGCAAGTCGATGGCTGCAGTGCCCGCAACTTCTCAGTGTCGCTGCACGTTTCCTTGGCTTGATTTTGCTTCCTTTTCGACCTTACATTCAGATGAACTTGAGAAGACCGACCTCATCAAGTAGCAGCGATGGAGCGCTCGGAGCAGGCAGCAACGGGCGGGCCGTCATTGTCCCGCTCAGGTTGTTCCCTTCCAGCAAATCGCGCAAGGATTCGTCTCAGTCTGACAGCAGCGACGATGACGACTTGTCGTATCCTTCTCCAAATCGACCGCAACCCGTGCGGCAGCCTTTCAGGGCTCCCGGCAGCTGCCAATGCGGTGTATCGGCTGCACGGACGCCTGCCCAGCACCTGCACGCCGTGGGCAGGTCCCCGCCGGTGGGTGGGTCGTCGAGCTGGAAGAGCGGCCGAGCCAAGGGAGGGACGAACTTCCAAGAGGATCGCAGCTCCAGCGACAGCGACTTTGGCCTCTGGGTTGGCGGAACGCCCTGCAGAACTTCCGCCAGAGGTAGGGAGCCTGGAAGCCAGTCGACAGAGGGGGTTCCTGGTTCCCGACCAGGGACGTCCGGCGGGCATGTTCGGGGGGAATTTCGAGGTGGCCGAAACGGCGAGAGCAGCGACAGTGACGCGCCCTTGGGGCCCCGCGGCGGCTTGCTGAGCGGAGCGAGGCACCTTGCCGCCTCGGCCAGCCGCGTGCCGTGGGGGAGCGGGAGGCCCTCCGAGTTGGACCGGGGGGACCATCGCAGTGAGTTCCCTTGCAGCAGCTGCAGCGGCTCGGTCTGCGAGACTTGCTTCAGGGGTACCGACGGAAAAGGAAGGGCTCCCGGAGGCGGCCGAGCCCTCGAGGCGCATTCCTGCAGCAGCTGCAGCGGTTCCGTCTGCGGAGAGTGTCAAGGTCGTGCGGCTGGCGTCCGTGTCTACTATGGACAGCGCACCAAAGGCAGCCTTCTTCTCAGGCGCCGAGTCGCATTTCAGAGCGACGCGGCTGGCAGCTTGGCGGGGGGAAACTGCGGGGGGCGGCGTCCAAGGGGACAGGAAGGAATTCCTCCCTCGGCCTGCCACAGCTGCAGCGGGTCCGTATGTGGGCACTCCGCACAGGTCAGGGAAACCCTTCCTGGGTGTCCAGGGAATTTACCTGTCAGGAAATCATTCCCGCCACCCGCGGGCGCCACGAGCGACAGCAGCGACGACGTCTGGTCGGACGTCGCGCGGTCCCACCGACTGCTCGAGAGGAGCGCCGGGGCCCCCATCAGGAGGGAAGAGGGGCGGTTCGAGGCGAGCTGCTCCACGAGCAGCTGCAGCGAATCCGTTTGGAAGCGGCACTCGCAGGCCCGCTTGGGCGCGAAAGGCGTGGGCACGGAGGCGCGGCTCGACGACGTCGATCCAGGCCACCCGCGTCACAGCACGGATGCCAGTGGGAAAAGACATGGGAAGGCTCGGACCTCGTACCCCAGCTATCTACCTCTGCGCGAATGCGGCGTTCCTTCGGGCCACGTCGCTGGTGGTAGGGATGGCGGAAAAAGCGGAAGGGGGAGGGGGGGTCGAGTGGATGCTCGAGGGGCGTGTGTGGAAGCCCGTGTCCAGGCAAGGGGCACAAGATTGGACGCGAATCCATACAGGGACTCCATCCCCACAACAGTGGAGGACTTCGACACAAGGGGGTGCCACGCGGCGTGGCGGCATCCGCAGGGGCAAGCCCGTGGGGACTCGCAGAATGCGAGTGCGGACATATATGACACTGACGGCTCCAGCGAAATTGACTGGTTTGGCAGAAACCCGCGGGAGGGAAACCGTGCCAGTCCCGTAGCATGTGGAAGAGAGGCCTCCCGCGCTGCAGGGAGACCACCTTCTTCCCCACTGACGGAAGCAGTATCCCAGTGCAGCAAGAAGGGGCGGCAGCCAGCACGAGAGACGTCGAATTCCATCTTGAGGGCCGCCGCGTCAGCTCCCAGCTCCGGTCCTGGCCATGGCTCGGGCCGTGCCCGCAAGTGTGCGCGTACAGCCAGATTCCTGGGAACTTACAAGGGCGGCAGTTCTCAAACAGATAGGGCCGGAAGTCTGCGCCCTGAAGCGTCCCTTTCTGAATGGATATTGAGCTCCGATTCCAGTCACAGCGACTCGAACCAAAGGTGCCCAAGACCTGTCCGCGTTGCGGCCAATTCGCCTCATTGCTGCGCGAAATCAGAGGGCGAAATTGCCCGGTCTTGCCCAATAGGCCGCGGGGTCAGAGCAAATAACGAGCTCCGAATGCGGGATAACCGCACTGCGGGTAAGGCCCCACGTGAGCAGAACGAAGATCTGTATTTTTCAAGCCCCGGATCACAGCAGGCAGAGGTTAGATCGGCGGCGGCCCCAAGTCATTCGCCAAAAAGGCTTAGGTAAATTCAGGGTGCTCTTCTTACATCTGCATCCCATCCCAGTAGCTCAACGTTGGCCATTCGCTTTCAATCTCAAATTTTCCTATGTTGTCCAGAGAGCCACAAAGAGCGCGGTGTGCAATAGCACACACACCTGTAACTCGAGGGGCGCAGTGCGATTAGAGTCCCTCCAAAACTTGGTGGCAAGAGCGATGCAGTAGCAGTGGTATTGCGCGCAATGCGCACTCTTGCCTTAGAGTTCTTAGGCCTTTCCACGTTTGCAACGCCAAGTATGCATGCGGCCTGTAGGTGGCCCTTTG